GAGGTTATATAGGGTTTGGTTATATAGGGGTTCTATCTATATACGGTCGTTTATTGGCTCCTGTACTGGGCTTGTATACACCGACACATATAGCTCTGCTGTACGAAGAAGCAATGTACATGTATATATGTACATATTATATAGGTATATCTATGTGAACTTGCATATGTAATTTTGTATGGGTGTACGAATGTATACCTACATATACATATAATAAGAATAATAACTATTATAATATTGTTATAGATGTATAGAATGTATACAGACGTACATGCACACACGTGCACACACACCCTCTCCGTCTCCGTCTCTCTCTGTCTTAATCTCTCGGGGCTTCGGGTGTTGTCGTTCTCGGTTGGGTTTGCTGGGTTGTGCAGGGTGCGGTCCGGGCCCCTTTCGTTCAGGGTCGGGGTCGTTCGGGGTCGTTCGGGGTGCTTCAGAGGGTCGTTCTGGCAAAGGCATTGAGGTGTTGTGGGGTATAAGGTCTTGTGTGGTGTTGGGATTGTCTTTCTCTCTCTCTCTCTCTCGCTCTGTCTGTCTGTCTGTCTTTAAACTGTCTGTCTGTCTCTCTGTCTGTCTGTCTGTCTGTCTGTCTGTCTGTCTGTCTGTCTGTCTGTCTGTCTGTGTTTGTCTGTCTACATGCATGCAGGGAGTGCATGAGTGCAGTGCAGTGATGCAGCTTGCGAACAGTGAAGCAGACTCCTTGTGCAATTCGCCTTCATGTGATGTTTTCTCTCATAAGGCTTTCCTTTTGGGGCCACCTGGTCCCGACTGTGAGTGCCGGTGCGAGCTTCGGCTTCCATGGCGAGTGGCGGCTCCGGTGTCGCTGATGCAGCGTGGCTGGAGCCTCCTAATGATGGAGCTGATGCATGGATCAAGGACGAGGTGAAAGAGGAGTACGACCCATCCTGGTACGAGGATGTGGTGGGCAACGATGCTCCGATGGCTGCGGAAGCACAGACCCAGCATGAATGGGGCGACGATGCTCCGATGGCTGCGGCAGCTCAGACCCAGGGGGAGCATGAATGGGTCGAAATTCCGGTCGCAGATGGCGACGACTGGGGCCAGGGAGATGAGTGGCCATCCCAGCACTACGTGGCGAAGCAGAAGACATGGAATGGCTGGCAGCAGAAGCATCCATGGAAGCCGGTGAAGAAGGATCGCGACACGTGGTCGAGCTCGGGGTCTTCCTCGTCGGGCGGCCGCTACGTGAAGGGTGGCTTCGTGGATTACCACGGGAACTTCCACCCGTGCCTTGTTTTTGCTGGCATTGTGGTGATTGCAGTCGGTTTGCTTCGGGGACAAAGAACCCTTCGGAACTCTAAAGCCCCGATAGATACATTATACTATGTAACCCCAGGACCATACGTAACGTGCACTGCATAACCCAACACAGCATATAGTATATATATACCCGACATAAGGCCAGCAAATAGAATGACGGCACTTTTCTATACACAACACCCATATTCATAAACGTCCTCACCGAAGTTAGTTCGTGTATCAGCAGCATTGCACCCAGGAGCGGAGGCGGCCGGCACCGCGATCGCACAAGGGCGGGGCACAAAGTGCAGCAAGGCCGCCGCAATGCGGAGGACAAGGAAGAGCGACGGGTCTACAGAGACCAGGCCAGTTCAGCAAAAACAACCAGTATATAGGTTTAGGGTTTTGGTTTAGGGTTTAGGGTCTATATAGGGTTTAGGGTTTAGGGTTTAGGGTTTATATAAGCTTTAATAACTAAAAACCCAGGATGCTACAGCCCCTCCTTCGCTTGTCGGTTATGTCTGTGTTTATTTTATGATTATATTTGGATATGCGATAGATAAGTATATGTATATATATATATAGATATATGGATATATATACACGTGTCTATATATATATACAATATATATATATATATGTATATATATATATAGATATAGAGTCTTTCTTGAAATAGCCTGTCGCCCGCACTATAAGACCCTGGGTTTTGGCCTTGAGGGCGTCAAGGGCTTTTGTTTTTTGTTGTTTGGTTGGTTGACTGTGGGTTGTCTTTCGGATGTTAAGGCTGTTAAGGTATTTCCGGTTCGTGTGTGTGGTGCATGGGGGTACCAAAAACCCTACACCCTAAACCCTGAACCTCTAACCCCCGCCCAGATGTCGACGGCCTTGGGCACGATGGGAAAGCTCGTCAACATGCTCGAGCGGAAGATCGGGTGA